TCACGTTCTGCGCTTATCATTCGCGCGCGCGCGCTCCGCCACGCGCACCTTTCCCGCTGACCTGACCTTCCTGCTCTGCGCGCTATCATTCGCGCGCGTTCCGTTACCCGCGACCCTTTCCCGCCAATGGAACCACTTCTTCTCAAAACCCCTTTTCCTCATATCCTAAGCCCCTCCCATCGGTAGGGGCGTGGGTAACGGAACGCGCGCGTTCGGCCACGCGCACCTTTCCCGCTGACCTGACCTTCCATCTCTAATGAGCTTATAGTATATGCACCTCCCATCTGACTCTCAATAGATCTCCTCCTCGCCCGCCCCTTCCTCTGTGACCTTGTCGGCTTGCAGCCTCCTCCCCCCCAGCGCTTTCCCCCTCGCCGCCACCCTACCGGTAGCGCGCACTCCTGCCCTCTCCTTACACACCCGCTTCAGTTTGCAGACACGTGGCAGCAACCACGCATCTCTTCATTCTACCAACGTAACGTATCAAAAATGTGACGCTGTATTATTATAAACGAGCACATTTTTGGTTCCGTTCGCGTAAAGAGCGCCAAGTAGACTATGGTTCCGTTCGCGTAAAGAGCGCCAAACGCCAACAAAATGAATGTATCAGAACTATAACAGGCCCGGATACATTCAAAAATGTTGACATCTGGCGAACGAGGCCGTATTAGCCATCAGCAGAGAAGACGCAGCAGCTGTGCACCGAAGAGTGAGGACGGAGTAGAGAAGCAGCATGCTACGGCTGCGTACGAGTTCCCTGCGCGGGAGAGAGAGCAAAGAGGGGAGAGGAGAGGGGCAAAAGGGGTGGAAACTTTATGCGAGGGAAAGAGCAAAGAGGGGAGAGAGGGGCAAAAGGGGTGGCAGCTTTTTGCGAGGGAAAGAGCAAAGAGGGGAGAGATTGCAAAAAACAAGGGTTAGAGAAAAACGGAGGGGAGAGGAGAGAGAAGAAAGTGACAGAGAAGGGAAGAGAAGAGAGAAGGAGAGGGAGAGCGAGGCGAGGGAGAGGGAGAGGGCAAGAGTTAGGCAAGCAAGAAAGATGGGGAGAAACGTACAGAAGGAGAGAGAGGAAGAGAGAAGTGCGGATGCGGAGGAGACGGGAGAGGGAGAAGAGAGAGAGAAGGAAAAGGTTTGAGGGGGAGGCGGAAGGGGAGGAGGAGGAGGCGCACACAAAGGCGTGTGCTGTGCACTCTCGCAATAACTCGAAAGAAGCCGTGCGTGACATCTTCTTCTGTCACAGGCACAAGATTTCTATTCGGACAAGACGAAATAGGAACCCGCGTTCTATTTGGAGCGCGAAACGGCATACGGGACTACCCGGCTTCGCCCGAATAGAACGTCCGGTCATTATCGCTGGATCTAGACTGCAAGTTGCACCAGATACAGCAATAATGACCGGGCGTTCTATGCGGATGAAGACGGTCGGGTTGTGAAGCATATACATTTCACAAAAGTAGAATAGAATCAGAGACGAGGACTTACAACGACATGGATTGGAACAAAACGACAAAAGAGGAACAAGAAAGTCAAACGGATCAATCAAGAAAGAATTCAATTGTAAATTTGAGGACCCCCCCCAGACCTCCCCAAAAGGAGAACGTGTATCGCTTGCTTCGCGAATTATAAAATTCCAAAAAAAAAAAAAGTTGTATAATAATAATTATAAATAATAATTATATAACACGATGCATAAGTGGTTGGACAAAGAGATAGAGCGTTACACCACTTATGCATCTCTTTGTCCAACCACTTATGCATCGTGTAATATAATTATTATTTATAATTATCATTCTGTAACTTTTTTAATTGTATGCAGAAGCAGGCAAAGGGAAAGGGATCGGGACAGGGAGGGGACGAAAGAAAGATAATCCCATAGAGCGTTCCAAATGTATAATAGGCGGGGAGCACGCTAATACTAGTTCAATTGGCGGGAGAAGACATAACAAACACCCTAGAAAGAACACCCTAGAAAGACGCGGGAAACACAGATGGAGAGGGGAGAGGGGATAGACTGCGAAAAGAGCGCGAAACAAAAAGTGGCAATCAGACAGAGAAGCGAGAACAAACAAAGGGATAGGCCCAGAGCGCGAAACAGGAGGCAGGTAGAGGGGAGAAGAGGGGTGGGGTGGGGGGGGGGAGGAGATGAGACGGAGGAGGGTCGGGGAGAGGTGGTCGAGAATGTTGACAGGGCGAAAAAGGATACGGGAAGGGTAAGAACCGGAGCGAGGAGAGGGAGCGAGGGAAAGGGGGAGAGAGGAAGAAAGAGGGAGAGAGAGGGAGAGAGAGAAAAAGAGAGAGAGAGAGAGAGAGAGAGAGAGAGAGAGAGAGAGAGAGAGAGAGAGAGAGAGAGAGGGAGAGAGAGTCAGAGACAGAGAGAGAGAGAGAGTGAAAGGGAGGGAGAGTATACGCACCATCATAAAGGTCAGCGATGATCCCAAACAGTCAACATCAACAAATGGGGCTACTGATGTCAGTAAGGCTCCGCCAAACAACAGCATGAAGAAGAAGTCTGCTGTCCTGCCGCGAAATGACGTCTCCTCCAGGAGTTTACAGTACCGAGCCAGGAAGAACATGTGAACAATGAAATCCAGACCTGTCAAAACAAAAGCATGCCAATGAGAAAAAGCACTCGTCAGAAACCCCTTTGCACTGACTAGAATAGGAACACGATCCAGAAGTTTGACACTAAGATCGTACGCAGAATTGCGATCGATTCCGAACCTACACCTTTCCAGACTGACAGACAGCGTATCGTGTTCTGAAACCTTGAGGGGGTGAGCATCACCAAAGCTTACCTAGCATGTTACGTAGAATGTGCTGTGAGCCCCAAAACAACTTCAGCATTGAGCCCCAAGGTTGTAGTTGGGATGGACCTCAAGTGTACAGCATAACATTGAGTCACTGAAGTCAAAGTTGCTTGAGGGTGAAGTTGGACTGTACACAATGTGCGATGAGTGTTTCTTGTCTTGAGAATAATCCAGACGTTCGACACTAAGATCTCACTTAGGATTGTCGGACGTTGCGTTCCCGATGTGGATCATGACCAAATACATCAAGCAACGAAACGCAGTTTTCCATCCACTCGCGACGTCAATTGAACCACCAGTACATCCGCACCTCTTTCGTACGAGGCAGATTCCCACTGCGCGCCAAGTTTTGCCAAAAGGCCAGCAAGGCGTTGGCTGGCGCCACCAGCCATTTTGGTCTGGTTGCTCCGAGTCTCCAACTTTTCCGGAGCGACTCAATCGTGATTCTCACATTGGCTGGGGCCATGTACTTACTGGTGGTCTAAGGCATCAGCATTATCTTAGCAGCAGGGCCCACTGAGCTATGTGTATGTCAAGGTTCCGCAAGCAAAAGGCTGCTATCCACATCTGACTCCCGCGACCAGATTGCACCAATCAGATCTACCTGACAAGACCCACCCGAGCTCAGGCAACAACCATGGATCATTCGCCCGATGAACAGACAGAAAAACAGAACAGACCATGAAACACTTTTCTGACATCTCTAGCTTCCCATCCTGAACCAGTAAAGAACTGGTACGCCATGCTCTCATAGTTCGTGTTCACACTGGTGCAATCAGACTCACTTTCGTTCACACTTTACATGCATGCAAACAGTAGCGCAGCAAACTGGCGACATGCGCCCACACAGAACTTAGAGATATGGCAACCAAGAACGCAACCCAGATACGAGTTCACTTCAAATGGCTATGGCGTCACAGCGCCCATACAACTCTCTGTTCGCATACACTGGATCACCCTGGATATCCCACACGCGAAACTCTATTCACTCTCACACACTCACACACTGAACTCCAACTACAGCTATGGCAGCTATGGCCGCCGCTACCCTATCGCTATGGCTAAGCTTCGTCTCTCTGCCCACTTCGTCTTCGGGCTTGCTGCAGACCACCTCGCACAAGTTGCTGCGGCAGCGCTTCCGCATGGCTTACGCAGGAATGAATGAATGGCTGGGGGCTGCCTCTTGATTTATACTTCTGCAGCTCGTTGGTCTGGCCCTTTCCCATGCCCGAAGTGTGCACAGTCCCATGCGGTACTTGCTTGACTGGACCAGGACTGCCTAGGACTGGGACTGCTGACTCAGCACGGGCAGACTCCACCACTTGCCCACTTGCCTCGCCACTTGCCCACTTGTCTCAGTCTAAACGTGGACAACTTCGAAAGGCCACTACTGGGACCTTCCGGAAGGCCGTGGACTTGGCCTTTCGTGACTGTAGCAGCTACGACCTTGACCCTTCTGGACTGTAGCAGCTACGACCTTGACCTTTCGGGAAAGCTTCGGCTACAACTTCTAGACCTGACTAAGACTCCTACTCGACAGGTCTACAGATCGAACCCCTGCGACCTCTGGACTCTCTACCACTATTACAATTACACAAGTCATGGGTTCAACTCTAGGGGCGACACAGGTACTGTACACAGGTAAGCTGGGGGGGGGGGGGGGGGGGGGGGGGGGGGGGGGGGGGGGGGGGGGGGGGGGGGTGGCTAGGGATCAAGCCCTGGGATCTGCATCAGCTACTGCGAACTGGTGAATACCGTTTCACTGAAAATCAAAATCACATGAGCCTTTGCCCTTCCGTCCTTTTACTCCCCACGAGATTTCTGTTCCCGTTGAGCTCATCTTAGGCCACCTGCAAATGGATGGCCATACTCTCACAGTTTGTACTCGTACTCGAAATCAAAATCACATGCGCTTTTGCCCTTTTGCTCCACACCAGACTTCTGTTCTCATTGACCTCATCTTAGGCCACCTGCAAATCGTCTACCGCAGATGTAACATCCCAGCCAAACTCCCCACCTAACCATGTCTTTCCCTCGGATCGGACAGGCCGCTTGGGCCTGCACCTTGGAACGAGAAGCAGTGGCAAAGCCCCGCCTCCACCTCGCGGAACAAGTTAAACATACAATTCTTCAAAGGACTCCCAATTCACCGACAGATGTGTTCAAGTACGTTGTATCATGCAAAAAAAGAAAAAAGAAAAAAAAAGAGAGAGAGAAGTACGCCGTATCACCGCTTCACGAATGAACTGCAACTGCATTGGATCTGGTGTTTTTTCCTTCCCTTCTCCTGCCCCCTTGGGGCATGCTCACACTAGAACTTCTTGTACTAAGCACTGGACGTGATTGCAGTCAGATTCATTCGGGGCGCCATAGTTGCAGTCAGATGCATTTAGAAAAGTCGTAGTATGAGTATGTACTTCGCCTGGTTACTTGCCATACTGATTCTTTTTCGGAGGGCTAACCACTAAAGCCATTGAACCCATCCAAAAAAAAAAAAAATTGTACACATCCAAATCCATCAGTAATCGAACTTGTGATCTCTTTACTAAAATCCTTGGACCATTGTATTACCCAAAAAAACAAAATAATAATAATAATAATAATAATAATAATAATAATAATAATAATTGAGATGAAGACAGATTTTGCGTACATGAATACACAGAGAGAGAGAGAGAGAGAGAGAGAGAGAGTTTTGCTCACCTAGTTCTCCAAAATAGAAGAAATTTGTGAATAGCCGCCATATCTGAAACTTCCGAACAATGAGCGTGTAGTTGAAATAGACAGAGAGAGGCGAAATGACCTGCGCAGAAAACAGGACAGTGAGCGCAAAAATGCTGTCAAAAAGTCACAACACTCCCAAAGGTAGGCAGCTCTAAGTGAGCAAAACTGATTCGGTAAAACAACAAATTAACTCAGTTCACCACTGAGTAAGACCCAACCTTACCAAAACTTAAACCACCAGTTCTTTTCTTAACAAAAAAAAAAAAAGGCAAACAGAAAGGGGCCAAAGGGCCCTTCTATTCTGGGGGGGCAGCAGTCTTAAACCACCACTTCACCTGAACCTAAATTGCGGTTGTGCAAGGTGGGGCTAGGGGTTGCAGACTCCTGCTGCGCACCCCCCAAGGTTTTTTTTTTTTTTTTTTTTCCGGGGGGGGGAAGTGTCGGGGCGGCTGCGGCTAGGGTAGAACCAGGGTCGGGGGTGCCCAACCCCGTACCCCCGGACCCCCAGACCACCGCTGAGGCCCCGGGGCCAGGGCTCGACAATGCTGGTGTAAGTGATGGCATGGGGGGCCAAGGCTCGACAACGCTGGTGTGGGTGATGGCATGGCAAGCTGTAGACGTCGACACAGCTCTCAGTACAGCATTCACCGCCACAGCTGGCATGCGCAGCGCAGTCCCGCTAACATACAGGATTGGATCCAGCGCTGAATGCGGATGTGTTTTATGCAGAGCGGAAAAGAAGATCAATTCGGAGTTTCTGCACCTTGAAATCCGGGAAACATACAAGGGAGGGGAGATCATCACAGGTGAGCGAGTTTTTTGGCAGGAAATTGAAAACATATGATTATGGGTCTCGCTCCACTACTCTACACTCCACAAACTTTTTGCAGAGCGGTCGTATACTTGTCAGACTATACAAATCAGTGGAAAACCCCTCATCGCTCCACTCACTCGCCACTCTATCCATCGGTGCAAGTACTCCCCATCTCGTGACCGCACTAGAAGATGCAGTGACCGCACTAGAAGTCACGACGCCATCGGCATTTTGTCTGCCACTCTACAAATGTGGTCCCACATCGTGAGCTCGACGGAGCAGTCTATGAGTAACAGATTTCGCAGACAGGGAACTATACAACAGTGGAGAGGGTGAGGGCTTCCCCCCCCCCCCCCCCCCAATAAGAGAAGACGGATTCTCTGAGAGATATATACAAGAGATTTTCACAATTTCGTTTGTAGAGTTAGTGGAGTGATGAAAAAACTCTACAAAATCGAAGAGTGGAAAGTAGTGGAGCCCCACTGCAGAACACTACATGCATTCGGACGCTTTCCAGACCATGTGCATTCCGGGGAGTCCAACATTTTGAGTGTATCCAGTCCTAAAGCGTCCAAACGGATGGAAAGTGCTGTGCAGCGAGGCATCACTACTTTACTCTAGACTCTCGAAGTTTCGAGAGTGTGTCGTCACCGGACTTACTCTGGAATAGGACTACTAGAGGGCTGTCGGAGTGAAGACTAGAAGGGCACACTCTCGACTCGTCGACAGTTGCCACCTGCAACAGTGGGATTTTCAAGGGAGGTCTATTGCAGCTCTCGCTGGAAGGCCCGCCTGTTTTTCGAAAGTGTACGAGTATGGGCGGACAAAACGCTATTGACGCTGTGTCTTTTAGTCCTGGCACGGCGTCTGGTAGTGAACTCACGAATTGGAAAGTGCTTCTACATCGACGTCTTCGAGAGTTAGTGCCGCAAAGCCTATAATTCCGAGAGCTTTGTGTGCGTCTGCCAGCTCTAGTCCAACTCTCCAAATATTTATCGAGAGTCTCTAGAGTAGTGCACCGAGGCCCTATATCAGGTTGCAGGATAGGTCCCCCCGCATTTAACATGCGGGGATGTGGATGATCCACAAGAATCTGAGCTGTTCCCGTTTTCTTTTGGCGGGAACTTTTAAACACTGTCAAACCAAGAATCTGGACTGTTCCTACCCAAGGGCCTAGCTCAGTGGGTACACCATTCAACAGTTGAAATACAGACCCGAGTTCGAATCCAGATGACAATGGAACACTAGATGAGTAAAACCAAATATTCCTGAATTGCTTGGGGCCGGTCAGCTCAATGATGATATCTCAAGACCGTCGTCCTTTAAAAAAAAAAAAAAAAAAAAAAAGAATCTGGACTGTTCCCCTTCTGTTTTGGCGGGAACTTCAAACACTGTCAAGTCCTTCGCCGGAAGTTGAACAGGATTATGTCGGGTTGCAGCAAACGCCCCCGACATGTAGACGTACGTCCCCACAAGAACCTGGGTCGTTCTTTTTCCTTTATACATATACATATATATTGTCACATTGTGAATCAGAGCGCAAAAAAGGGAAAAGAAAAAAGGAAAAGGAAAAAAGGGGGAGGGGGAGGAGGTAAGGAAAGCTCCACCTGTTCATAACCTCTTCCGTTTATATATATCGTCACAAACAGATATATATATCGTCACAAACAGAACTGCCCGGTAAACCGTAGGCAGAGAGAGAGAAGAGGACAACAAACGAGGGGCTGTGACAAACTGTTTCGTCGGAGTTTCGTCACACTGTGAATCAGAGCGCGAAGGCGAAAAAACGCAAAACAAGGAAAAGAAGGAAGGAAGGAAAGCCCCACCTGTTCATCACCTCCCCACCTTTTCATCAGCTCTTACGTACAAGGCCAGCCACGTGGATGACAGGTTGAGCGCTGGCTGCACCCATCCCCGTGTGTCACAAGGACCCACTTGCAACCTGTCTAACCAAGGCCAGCCACGTGGATATATCGTCAAACAGAGCTGGCCGGTAAACCGTAGGCAGAGAGGCAGAGAGGGAGGGAGAAGAGGACAATAAACGAGGGGCTGTGACAAACTCTGTTTCGTCGGAGTTTCATCGGAGTTTCACCAACTCAGCAGGAGGCTGAACCCTATATATTCTCACACTGTGAATCGAAGCGCCAATATATTCATATATACATATACGTACATATAGGTATATATGGCGGGTCGTATTTTGTCGTTAGCATCTTCTGGAGCAAGGTACCACTAGGAAAAGAGGATTGACTTTAATGCGCTGAATCTGGACGTACTTTTGGAGAGGGGCAGAAAATCGGGATTGATCTGGTTTCATCCATCTCCACGTAAAACACATCCAGATTCAGGCTCTATATCCAATCCTCTATGCTCCCGCTAGTGGGACTGTGCCCCTGGAGGTGGGTGCCTTTCTAGATTCGATCAAGTCACCTTCTTCTGAGAGCATAGAGTTGCAATGCAATTACACCACAACTCTGTAATCTTTTCAAAATAACATAGATTCGATTAATGAATGATGTAATGATAAGGAATGTATACTGCATATAACTCTGTAATCTTCCAAAATAAAATAGCGCTCATTTTGTACACCACAACATCATTGACTTTTTATGCTCATTGACTATGATTCATTCACACGTGGAACACTGCTGCGGACGTTTCATTGCGCTCTCCTTCTTCAACACCGGTTCAACAGACCCGCATGGAGAACCAAGAAGACCGGGTCCCGTGGAAGGGAGGGGGAGGGGGGAACAAAACACCCCGCATCTGGTCGCCAGGATGAACTGAAAGCAGAATGCTGAGTTGACTCTCTCTCTCTCTCTCTCTCTCTCACACACACACACACACACACACACAATATCTACCCACCTATCGTCTATCTAAATCTATCTACCCATCTTCTTCTCTTTCTTCTCTATGACTGATAACTAGACAGACTCTCTCTCTCTCTCTCTCTCTCTCTCTCTCTCTCTCTCTCTCTCTCTCTCTC